CTCCAAGCCATGTTTCCAGTGTCTTCGGCACCAATGCTATCTACAGAAAGTTGCAATTCCACTGTAAATTTCATTACAATAACTGCTTGACCAAAAACTAAACAACCACATATTTTGTGGGAAACGTCAGAAATCATGAAGAAGTGAACTAAACAATAAGGCACTGTTTCCTGACAAGATCATTATGTCAACTTTACAGGGGATAATGTTATGTTTATAGCTCAGTGTGCTGAACACAGCTGGCAAAAAGTTAATTAGTGTGCTAACCCAATTATTTTACTGTTGTGGAAATGTTATTGCCTTTATATACAATCATCCTACTTTATCTTTCAAAGGTTTAAGTGTAAATATTAATTTATTTAAAAATGTGATCTTTCTACTATCACAAAACTTAAGTAATAGTTTCAAATCAAAGTAAAAATTAATAGTTTAAAAACAAGAAACAATGTGCAATATAATTGAATATTCATATTATTTGTTTCTGATGACCTAATAAATTTATTTAAAATTGGTTACAATCTCAGCCTGTTTTTTCAGTTACTGCTGTCCCCCCACCTTGCAGGTCAAGTGAGATGAAACATCAATGTTATGTTTTTATTTTTTATGCTAATTCAAAATGTATAAATACCAATGCTGCTTTTCATGTTCATTATAGTGCATGTGATGCCACCCAGTGGTTTTGTTCTCTCAGACATTATGATGTCCACACAGAGGTGGCCTGAGTGGGGCTGGGCACTTTTACAGCTGTTGTTGGTGGTGTCTTTCTCTCAGGGAGAGGAGCTGGTGTGCCAACAAAGAGGGGATCAGGAGAACCCAGAACTATCTAAGGATGGAGACATTATTCTGGGGGGAATCTTCAATTTTCACAGCTGGAAAGTCAGACAGGATACCTACACACACAAACCCCTACCAATGGAATGCACCAGGTAAATTACAGCAGAGAAATCTATTTCTATTTAAAATACCTAAAAGCAAGTGGGTAGAGATACAAGTGGGTCAAAAATGTTTGTGAGATTTACTATTCAAATTAAAATTACATTTAATTTTAAACATGTGGATATTGTGTTGTATTAATGCCATCAGATACTTAAATTTACTATTCTGTTCTTTTGAGTACTAATATGAGTGCAACAATTTAAAACTGTCTGCATAGTTTGAATTTCAGACAGTTCCAGTGTGCCCAGGCCATGATTTTTGCCCTTGAGGAGATTAATAACAGCACAGACCTACTACCTGGCATCTCTCTGGGCTATAAGATGTATGATTCCTGTGGCTCTGCTGCCAGAAGTGTGAAGGTTGCACTGGCCTTGGCTAATGGTAATGAAGTTGTGTCTTCACCCATCAAGGCACCATGTACCAGACCTGGACAAGTGCAGGCCATTATGGGAGGGTCATCTTCCTCTACTAGCATGGCTATAGCTGATGTCGTTGGACCCTTTCATTTTCCACTGGTGGGTGAAATGAATGCATATGTAATTATATTTCCTAAAAAGTTATAAGAAATTTGCAATTTTGCTGTTGCTCAGAACAAATGTGAGTGCGTGAATGTTCCATATCTTACACCTTAATCTTGGGAGGTCATTTCTTTTTCTTGTAGATCAGTGCCTTTGCCACCTGTGCTTGTCTCAGTGACAAAACCAAATACCCATCCTTCCTCAGAACAGTGCCCAGTGACTATTATCAGAGCAGAGCCCTGGCCCAGTTGGTCAAGCACTTTGGTTGGACTTGGGTTGGAGCAATTAGAACCAATGATGATTATGGCAATAATGGCATGGCTACATTCACAGAAACTGCACAGCAGTTGGGCATCTGTCTGGAGTATTCTGTGTCTTTCTTTAGGACAGATTCATCAAATAAAATAAAAAATGTAATTGACATTATCAAGGCTTCCACCTCCAAGGTGATTGTAGCTTTTGTTTTAGCCATAGATATGGTTGTGCTATTACAAGCGTTGTCTCAGCACAACTTGACTGGATACCAGTGGGTAGGAAGTGAGGGATGGATCATTGATACCCGAACTGCAGAAATGGATACACATCATATTCTGGATGGTGCCATAGGCCTGTTCATCCCTAAAGCACATGTTAGCAGCATGAGAGAGTTCATATTAGATGTGAAGACATTCAATTCCTCTAGTAACAAATTGTTTACAGAGTTCTGGGAGACTTTATTTAACTGTAAGTTCAAACAGTCAAACTCATCATCAGCAGAGAATCAGAGAGAATGTACTGGACATGAAGATCTGACTGGAGTGCAAAACAGCTTCCCTGATATGTCACTCATGCCTACATATAACAATATTTATAAAGGAGTGTATGCTGTGGCACATGCACTTCATATTATTTTTGGTTGTAATAAAACATGTAACTACAAGGTGCAGATGGATCCACTCACGGTGAGTTTAACATTTAATCAATGTTACTCAGGCCATTTAGTTGCAAAAGAGCAAACAAACAAAAAAGATAAAAGTCCATTATAGTACTGATCCAATAATTTCTGCCATAATTAATGAGATTCATACTTATCTTCTTAGATTTTACAGCACATAAGAAAGATTCATTTCAAAACCAAGGAAGGAGATGAGGTTTTCTTTAATGAGAAAGGAGACCTACCAGCAAAGTATGAAATTATAAACTGGCAGCCAACAGAAAAAGGCATTGTGGACTTTGTCACAGTTGGTCTTTACGATGCATCTTTACCTGCAGACAAACAACTGAGTCTGCAACGTCAGTATTTTATTTGGACACAGAACTCAAAAGAGGTACATTACAGCATGATCGCTGTACTTATTAAACACATAATAATCATCCTAAGTGTATTACTGTTACTTTATAATAATGTTCAGTTTAAAAAGTTAACAACAAATGTTTGCAAACATAAAACCTTTACAGAGTCATAGATTTTTCTCTGAGTAATTGTGTCCATCCAGGTGCCTGTGTCAGTTTGCAGTGAGAATTGTCCCCCAGGAACTCGGAAGGTTCTCCAGAAAGGAAAACCTGTCTGCTGCTATGATTGTATCAGATGTGCAGAGGGAGAAATAAGTAACATGACAGGTCTAGTAAAATTCAACATTTGGCACTTCATTGTGCCACAAAACAAAATTCAGTCATGTTTACATGCAATTATAAGAAATTTGAGCCTGTGTGCATGTCAAGGCTAAAGCCCTAGATTGAAAAAATATACAACTATTGTTTATTCAAAACATTCCAGCGGCACTGTTTATAGAAAAATGGCATAATCCACTTAAGATGGTGAAGATTGTGTTGTGTTCAGTTATTCCATCCTTTTCTTCCATCCCCACCCATGTGGATGGAAGAAAAGAAATTTGGCATGATATGTCAACATGAGTGTTAAATATTATGTGTATGAGTCCCTGTGTCAAAAAGTACAAAATAAAAGTGTTTTCCTAAGAAGGTTCGATCCCAGGCTGGCCCGGTCCCTTTCTGTTGTAGATATTGCATGTTCTCCCTGTGCCTGTGTGTTCCTTTCGGGTACTCTGGCTTCTTCCCACAGTCCAAAGATCAGCAGCTTAGGTTGATTGGTGACTCTAAGTTGCTCATAGGAGTGAGTGTGGTTATCTGTCTCTAAGTGTCAGCCCTGTGATAGACTGGTGGCCTGCCCCCCAGTAACCCTGTTCAGTATAAGAAGCATAGAGAATGGACTGATAGATCAAAGTACTTTCTTCAATTAAAATTTCAGATGCTATTACAAATCAAATAAGTGTAAAGCCATGGACCTGTTACAAGTTTACCTTTTTATTACTATGTAATCATGTAGTGTCTGTCTTGTTTGCACAGAAAAGATAAAAAATAAGAATAAGAATAATAAAATGACTGTGCAAGTCTTACATCTGCTTTCATGTGATTTTTCAGATTCCATCACCTGTGAGCGATGCCACCTTGAGTCCTGGTCCAATGAGAGAAAAGATTCCTGTGTAAAGGAGGCAGAGTTTCTATCATATGAAGAAATTATGGGAACACTGCTCACTGCAGCGGCCTTATTTGGAACATGCATGACTGCTGTTGTGGCAGCCATTTTCTTCACACACAGGACAACTCCTATTGTCAGGGCCAACAACTCTGAGCTGAGCTTCCTGCTGCTCTTCTCCTTGAC